TGATGATGATGATGACGATGATGATGATGGAGAAAATCATAACTCTGAAGATAATCCAATTGAAAGGGAAAATGCTGAACAAGGAGGAGGACCTGTGGATGTAATAGACGGTAGGTTCATAGTATATATGATAAATTCATAATGATAGCTGTGATGTTACATTTTTCATATATTTGTGACAGGTGGCGACAACGGTCAACCTGATCCTGGCTTGGATGTTAATAATGTTCAGCAACAAGCAAGACAAGAACAGCAAGCTGATACAATTTGGACACAAATTTGGAATTGGATCGCCAACGTTTTGAATGATATACCTGATCTCAATAACGAAGCACAAGATAACGATCCACAAGCTGTCAATGGTAATCAAGTTGCTATGAATCCACCCATTGGCCCAGTAAGAAGAGAGCCTAATGCGGAAGCACCTGTTTTTCCTGTTCCTGTATTTAATGAAGCTATCGATGTTCCGGTTGCTGGTCCTGCTTTAGGCCTTGAACCAGAAGAGGAAGAGGAAGAAAACGTTGCCAACGAAGACCTTGAAGGAGTTTTAGAAGCCATTGGCATGAGAGGCTCTTTGTGGATGCTTGCTCAAAACTCTGCATTGATGGCAGTACTAATTGCTTTATGCCTATTTGGTTCAGTTTGGTTGCCTTACTTCGTTGGCAAAGCATTTTTACTGGTATATATATTAAGACATGTGTTTAGTGTTAAAAATAGAATTTTAAAATTATACACTTATTTAAATGGTTTCCAGGTCAAACCTTTGAACTTGATACAACTTCCATTGACTTTATTGCGGAAATTTACTGATCCTTTGGTCGATATAATCATAGATACCATATTACCTTGGTTATGGGGGTTCATTTTACCAATATTAAAGTCATTATGGAACTTAATTTATCCTACTTTATCGCCAATGGTTAAAGACACGTCCTTAATGATTTATGTACAAGACATTACAAACCAATCTCGATACATTATCGCTCATTCTGCATCTCTGTTGACACAAATTACCTCCACTTCTGGAAAAATAACAAACGGTACCGTTATAGATAGTAATGTAAATCATATTTCTGAGTTTCTCGAAGGCCAAAATTTAACAGTACTTGTGAAAATAATTGATCGGTGGAATGGATTTGCTTACGGTAATACACCAACGGACAAGATTGTCTGCATTTTCTGTGGATATACAATCATTATCCTTTTGTGTGTGTGGTATCTATCACGGACAAGAAATCCGTATGGCCGTACTGTTGGACGTGCTGCTCAAAAAGTGCTGCGACAACAGGGCATTGTCTTAAAGGTTTGATGTATAAAATTATATCCTCTTGTATTTAATTCTAACTTTCTGGATTATTCATAAAATTTTCTTTCCAGGTTGCATTTTTTGTCGCTATTGAATTGTTAATTTTCCCCATTATATGTGGTATCTTGTTGGATTTATCTACTTTACCACTTTTCCCTGACGCCACCCCAACATCTCGCTTGGAGTTCTACCTCGAATCACCTGTCACTTCAACATTTCTTCATTGGTTTACTGGCACTGCATTTATGTTTCATTTTGCGGTGTTTGTTTCTCTCTGTCGTGAAATTGTTCGTACTGGCGTAATGTGGTTCATTCGTGACCCAAATGATCCGCAATTCCATCCTATCAAAGAAATATTAGAGAGTCCTGTCTGGACACAATTTGAAA